AAACCCTCAAGCAATAAGAGATATTTCAGAATATTTCTATTATAAAATTTGACATCTTAAGCGGAATTTTTCCGGACAGCGGGAAATCACGACCAACTATTATCTACGCCAAACTATCTAGGAACGCCAAGGAATTTCCAATAATACTTCTTTCACTTACTTTGCTACCGGTCGGTATTAAAAGCCATTGTATAATGCCTCAGCGCTGCGTTCGTGAGATATAAAACTGAGAATAAAAGCAAGCGGAGAGGAAAAATGTTAACATTATTGAAATGTTTTCTTGACACTATAAAGGTGAGTTCGAAAGAGTTGCTGGTATCGAAAGCTGGGCGAGGTAAAGTCGATCGCTAGACGAGAGGAAATTGCTTCGTTAATGGACATTTTTCTTGACATTCGTGCTATTAAAAGTTATCTTTTAAGAAAATTTTGATTTCTTTTTGAGCGAGCGATCGTTTAATAAAACTTGGTATGCTTTTACAATTATTTGGTAAGTTTAACATCCTCTACCTCCGAATTAAAGTAAAGTAAGAAAACTAAAATAAATCCATAAAATATGTGGAAAATTCCTCGATTCTTTTGAAGCAGTTTTGAACAGTTATAAACGTGTTAACTCTTGAAATATCTACTTAAAAGGTCTTTGACAAAAGAATTCATTAACATAGTTCTTTAGATAAGGTTTTGTTAGAATCTGCTTTGAATGTACAGTCAAGAACAGGTGAAAACTGTGAATTTGTTTGTACCCTTAGTACGAGTTTTACAATTACGAAAACTATGATAGTTTTCGTGAGCTCGCACTCGTACTAAGGGTACTGATTTTATTGTTTTCGTTTCAATGCAAATAAACAGTGTTTAAATTCCATCATCAAATCATTTGCGTCTTCTTGAATTTTACGTATATTTGGTTAGTTTTCACCAAAATGGACACAGAAACATAATTTACAATTACGAAAACTGTGACAGTTTTCGTGAGCTCAAACTCGTACTAAGGGTACTGTTATATTGAACTTTATTAAACATAGGCTATGACTCAGAAAATTCAACAATGTGTGGTAACTTTATAAATTGCTGAATAGTTTATAATTAATTTAAATCGAACGTTACACTAATAATTTGAGGTAAAAATATATATAGTTCTCGTAAAAATTCAGATAATAATAAAAAATATAAAAAGTAAAAACACAAAACAGTGTTCTTTAATATTTTCCGAGCCTTCTCTTCAACCACAATTATATCTGTATTTCAAATTCCTTTTTCTCCACTCGCTGACGAAGTCCCTGATAGTCTATTAGGAACTATATTATTGCCGTTTTAAATCTTTAGTGGGCAAGAAAAACAAAAGAATAACGCTGCCGCATTAAAAATTGGCATTCGTGAACGGAACTATAGAAGTATACTGGTCCTGAAGATTAGTGACGAAAAAAAATGTTTTTTACAATGTATGATCAGTTGGCTTTCTTTCTTTCTTTCTTTCTTTGGCGTAGGTACTGACCAACCGCGTCAAAATACTTATTATCAGACAAGAGTTATTGAGTTCAAATACAATGCCTGTGCTGTGTGGGCATTTTCAAATTGTTAAGTAAGAAGTACTTACTGCAATAATAAAGTATAAAAAAGGATTTCTACTAATGTACTAATGGGATATTAATTAAATATGCAACACTTTTTATTTATTTTTTATTCCACATCGTTGATCACAATATCGTAGATAGTAGATACAATGAAATAAAATCCACAGTATGGGACAGAATCGTGTCCAAAAGCCACAGCAAAATATCAGATTCGGAAGTCTTAGGCAAGCACTACTCAACAGTCGCAGGGAAAGATTTCGAAAGTCCAAATACAGTCCAAGTCACATAAAAAAACAAATCTCAGAAAAACACAATACGCCGATTGAAATCTTTGCAATATGCATGCACCTAAGCACAAACAATGTTATATAACAACAACAATTCGATGACAAGCATGACAGTGACAGTTATGGTTTTTTTTCGTTAGTTTACTCTTTTTGTATTGTGGAGATTATTTAATATGGTTTCAGTTTAATATTGAAAAATAATGTTTCATAAATAGTACAGTTTAAGCGTAAAGCGATGAAAAACATACGAACAACATATTTAAAGTTGTTTTCATCACTAAAATCACTTAAAATGAATGGCTCAAAAGCCATCATGGCCAAGCCACAATAAAAAAAAAAATAGTCAATTGTGTTTCCCTTTTTTTAATTTTTAATTCCAGACTAGACAACCCTCCTCAATTGTTTAATAAAACTTTTGAGATTATTTTATTAACATTTCTGATAATGACATCTATAGACGCTATAGATTTACTTCAACAAATATTTCACCATTGTCCTTTTTGCAATGCCTGGATTTTCCCCAACGTTCACAGTGCATGGCCAACTACATCACAAAATGGGTGATGATCACCTAATGAACAGCCACAATTTTTACAGGTGTATTTTATGGGAGACGACGACGCGGAAACTGACAAACGGCGTCAAATCATTCAAGGTATGGAGCGAGCAACTGTGCCAGGAAGACGAGTTTGCTCGCACGTGGAATGCGTCACGAAAACAATGGAACGTTGCGTGCAGGGCGCACCCGTCGACGGTTGGGCTGGTGTGAAAGCCTTAGATGCCCACGGTAGAATTTATACCGTACACATAACACACTTTGAGTGCTATTGTGTACGGTTGCTGTTGCTATTACTAGAATCCGGGGTACTACCAGTTTTCAAGCGCTCAAAATCGTCGATGGGCAGGAAAAGGCCACTTTTCAAGAAGCATGTGAGGCGATGAAGCTGCTTGAAGACGACGGCCACTGGGACAATTGTGGTACAAGTATAAAAAGCGCTTTGTCAGAAGACATTGCTCGCCGATACCAAGGGATCATCATCATCATCAGCCTATTAAGGTCCCCACTGCTGGGGCACAGGCCTTCCCTATGGATGGAATAGGGAGATTGGGCCATGACCCACCGCGCGAGCCCAGTGCGGATTGGTGGGTGCTAACGACTGCAGATGCAGCCGGGACCAACGGCTTTATGTGCCTTCCGAAGCAGGGAGGAGCTCGAGATAGTAAATTTTTGGTCACCCATCCAATGACCGACCACTGCGAAAGTTGCCTAACTTCAACGATCGCAGCTGAACGCGCTAACCACTTGCGCCATCGAGCTCCTCGATAAGGGATAACACTAGACATAATTTTTAAAGAAGCGCTGAAAGTCTTTTTTCTTGGACGCACCAGGGGGCACCGGCAAGACTTTTTTAATGAACTTGCTGCTGGCACAGTTGTGCAAAGACAAAGTGGTTGCCCTGGCTGTTGCATCCTCCAGAATAGCCGCTCCCGCTGAAACTTGCAAGTGAAGAAACGCCCATTTGCAACATCAGTAAAAGTAGTAGTCGTGGTGCGCTATTGCAATGGTGCAAATTGATCGTATGGGACCGAATCGAATCTTTATTGGTGGAGTGGTCGTCTTGCTGGCAGGTGATTTTCGGCAGACGTTACTGGTTATCGAGAGAGGTACCTCGGCAGATGAGATAAACGCATGCCTCAAGGCTTCGCCGTTGTGGGATAATACCTATACCATGTAGAATTTTTAAATTCCCTCGACCTGTCAGGGCTGTCTGTCTGCCTGCCATACTGATGCGTAACCTGGACGCGCCCAGACTGTGTAACGGCACTAGGTTACCCATCACGGAGCTGAGACGGCACCTCGTCCAGGCCACCATTCTTACTGGAGGGGCCAAAGGAGAGACGGTATTGACACCTAGAATCCCTATAATACCCACAAACTTACCCTTCCAGTTCAAGCGCCTACAATTTCCAATAAACGTAGCTTTCTCTATTACAGTAAATAAAAGTCAAGGACAAACTCTAAAAGTAGCAGGCATTCACCTGGGCACCCCCTGCTTTTCCCACGGACAACTGAACGTGGGTTGCTCCCGTGTGTCGAGAGCAAGAAACACATTTTATTTACGCAGAAAACAATAAGTCCCGTTTTGTGGTTTACCGGGATGTGCTGCAGTAAAGTGATTTCTAGGTCTCGATCTACGACCCGAGACAAAAAACAATTACATAAGACAGCATAATGATCTCTCCAGTTCTGTCAGTTATCAAATTTTGTAAATTGATCTTTCCGATGTTTAAGTTTAAATTATTTTGCTTCTAAAAATGTGAATAGTCATTGTTTTTACTGTTAATACACAATTTATTTTCCCTTATAAGCCGCGGGTAACACTGAATAGTAAAAAAAAGTCCGTTGAGGACACTTCACGGACTCAACGCATTCGATGTGCTAACATTTGTCTCTATGGAAGTAAACATTCTCAGATAATGTTGTTGTAATTAACATGAAGGCGTTTACTGGGACCATCTATTTAAATCGGATAGAGCGCGAACGCGAGGGAGAAAGTTTCGCTGAGTGCGTTGCTGCTCCTAGTCACATGAGTTCTATATTTTTCGGGGACTCCCGTGTATTTTTGTCCAGTTCGGGTTTTCGGCGTCCTCGGTTGTACGAGAGACTTTTTTTACGCGGTATTTTAAATTCCTCATGTGTTTTTATCCATGGAGTTGTTAGAAAACTATTTTGGCGGTCAAAAAAGTCCGCAGAAAGAGTTCCTCGTCTGCGCAGGCTGTAAGGCAGTGCAAAGCTTATAACTCAGCTCTCAAGTACTCATTTTGTTATATTATGTATGAAATCGTTCCAATCTCCTTAATGAGTGCTTTAGTTTTTTTCTTTTAGTGGTAACATTTATGATTATCACCGCTATCACTTCACATCAAGTTGGGTAATTTGTTATTACTTTTATTGCTACCGCTTCTCCTACTTAAAAATATTTTAGAGCTTAATTTTAGATAGTGCAGAATTTTTCTTACTGCATTTGGCTCTGGCAGAATTTAAATAATTATTTTAAATTTATAACAAAAAATATTTAAATCATTCAAAACAGGAAAAGGATTCAATCTTCCGAGTCTCTCACTCAAAATAAAAACAGCCAGGTAACTTCGCAGCGTTTTATTAAAACGTTCTTTTATTTATTTCTTTTTATTCACATTCAACTTTTCATCAACCTTTACAAAAAAAGTACAAATCGCGTCCCAAAAATAATCTTTCAAAAAACATACAAAAATACACTCTTTTATAACATTATTTACAAAAATACATATTTACAAAACGGAGCATCGTTCCAACATAATAAATAGTGCGTAACGTATCGTCCGAGGCGGGGAGGGCGGGGAGGGCGAGGCGGGGTTACACTAGTATCACACGCGGGCGCGAGCGGCTCGGCTCGGATCACACGAGCACGGTGAGTCGCTCGGATCACACGAGCGCGGTGAGTCGCTCGGATCACACGAGCACGGTGAGTCGCTCGGGCGGCGGGTGCCGCACGGGCGGCGGGTCGGGCGGCGGCAGCGCGCGCTTGGTGAGCTCCTTGTCGCGCGGCGGCGTGTCGTTGCGCGCGTCCGCGTTCTGCGCCTTGTATAAGGTGTGCGCGCGCGGCAGCTCGTCCGCGGCCGCGCGCCGGGGCAGCGGGTTCGCGTAGCGGCGCAGGTTCTCCTCGTTCTGCAGGTTGTTCGACTTCTCCTCGTCGCAGCGGCGCGAGCGCTCCGCCGCCGCCGCCGCCGCCCGGCGCCGCCGTATCAGCAGCGTGGCGCCCGCCGCCGTCGCGAGCAGCAGCAGGGGAACCACCGCCGCCAGCGCCAGCAGCCCCGCCGGCGGGGAGGAGGCGGTGGCGGGCTGGGGCGGCGCGGGCGTGGGGCCGGCGCGGGCGAGGCGCAGGCGCAGCGCGGCGCCCAGCAGCGGGTGGTGCGCGAGCCGCCGCCGCGACACCAGCTCGCTCAGCGCTCGCACCGCCGCGCCCAGCGCTCCCGCATCCGTGTCACCGTCGGTGCCGTCTTCGTCACCGACCCACTGTCGATCCAAAAAGTAGGTTGGTTCGCTGAACGTTTCAAAAAATAGGGGTAATGACGGGGACGGTTAACGAAATTCTATTTAGTCCGTCAGTTGGATGATCAAAAAATAATGGACACATATTTTTTCTTTGGAAAATCAATCAAAAAATGACAAAGTTATAGCGCGTCAAAGTTTGGGAGTAGGGGCTCGTGACGTCACTTTTTAGTGAATTTCCACTTAAAAGTGTACTCAAACGTGACGTCATGCGATTTTTCAAATGAATATATCTCTGCAATATTTATATTATGTGAAAAAAGAAAAAATACGTGTCCAACACTTTTTGATAATATCCACCTAATAAACGAAAAAAAAAATGAGTCATCATCCCCATTCAGTGTTGCCAAGTCTCCAGATTTTCCAGGAGATTGCCTGTTTTTCTTAAATTTCTCCTGATCTACTGTTTCTCTACATGAAGCTCTTGTTTTTTTAGAATACGATTTTCTTTTTTAAATTGCATTTTCCGTCATTAATAATGTAGATTACCTTAAAAATTATAAAATAAATGTAATCGTCTAAAAAAATAGCTTTGAGGTGCGGCAGAAGCCACAGAAACACATTCGTTATCGGTCTTTATCTTACACACATTCGTTATTGGATTTGATTTACCAATTCTAGGGGGCAAAATATGCAAATCGGAAAAAGTACGCCTCTGCATCTACTATTTTTCTCGTAGCTCTTTCCATACATCTACAGTTTTTTTCTATAACGACTCCCGATTTTTGAAAATCGGACCCGGCAACACCGTCCCCGTTGTTTGTGTTATCATTTAATATTAAACAATTTCATCAATCTACTTAAAATTAAATAGGAACTAATGAGTAATCACCAATGCTAAATCTAACGCGTCGTCATCGTCCGCGGCGAGATCGCACAGTAGAACGAGCGGGGGCGCGGGGGGTTCCCTCGCCGCGAGCGTGGCGGCGAGCGCGCGGCGCAGCGCCCCGCAGGCCCGCTCCACGTGCGCGCCGCGGGCGAGCCGCTCGCGGGCCAGCGTGAGCGCGGCGCGCGCGCAGCCGGGCGGGGGCGGGGCGCGCGCGCCGGGCCAGCACGCGGCGGGCGCGGGCAGCGCGGGGGGCTCCACGCGCCGCCCCCACACGCGCCGGCACTCGCCCAGCGGCGCGCACGGCCCGCGCAGGCACAGCGCCGATGCCGCCGGCACGCACACCTACGGGACGAACGATAACACGATGAAATTTTAATACAATTTTGAGAGAAAAAAACTTTTTATCCTTCATAAGAAAATAGTGCTGTGCGAGCGATGCTCGGTGATTTCTTTCATAATTAGAATCAGAAATGAGGAAATTCGCAAGAAAACTAAAATAACTAAGTAATTTTTGAACTGGATCAGGATCGACAGGTGGATGCGGTGTACACCAATATAAGTAAAGCGTTTGATAAGGTTGATCACTCTATAATGCTGAAGAAATTATGCTTGGCAGGTGTTCGCGGCACTTTGTTAGACTGGTGTCATTCTTATCTTTCTGAGAGGTATCGAAAAGTAGTTACTTGTGGATATGATTATATTCTGGTTTACTCAGGAGTTCCTCAGGGATCACATTTGGGACCTCTCTTTTTTCTAGCATTTATAAACGATCCGGTTCGAGTTATTAGGTACTCAAGTTGTTTATTGTTTGCCGACGATCTCAAAATATACAAAACTGTCCAAAATTCCAATGATGCTGAGCTTTTACAAAAAGATCTGGATCAAATAGCGGCCTGGTCACACGCAAATATGCTTCCTTTTAATCCTGACAAATGTAAGCATATAAAATTCACAAAAAAACGATTTCCGGTTAAATCTGCATATTCTATAAATTCCCAAGTTCTTGAAGAGGTATCGTCCATTCAAGATCTCGGTATTCTTTTGGATAAAAAATTACTTTTCACTCATCATTTTGAGTTTAAAAAAAAATGCTGGGATTTCTTTGGCGTAGTTGTAAGCGGTTTAATAATTTTGAAGCATTCAAACTTCTATACTTTGCTTTGGTACGCAGTTCCTTGGAGTATTGTTTTGCTATTTGGAATCCTCTTTATGAGTGTCATAAAAGCAGGATTGAAAGAATCCAAAAAAAAAATTTGTCTTTTCTAACTAGACACCAAGGAAAAAGATATGAACTCATCTCATGTAAGGATAAATTGGAGTATTTCGAGTTGGTTTCTTTGCGGAAACGCAGATGGGTTGCTGATCAGATTTTATTGTATAAAATTCTGAGAGGTAACATTGATTATCCTCAACTTTTTAGTGAAATTAGTTTTAATATACCACGACCAAATTTCAGACCAGCTAACTATAAATTATTTAATTTAATAACTTATAAAACCAACCTGGGTACGCAGAGTGTTTTAAATAGGATTTGTGAAGAACATAATAAAAACTGTACTGGGTCCTTGGTAGGCGTTGATTTGTTCGCTGCGTCATTGACTGCATTTAGGAGGGCTTTGCTGTCGAGCATTGATTGTGAAACTTGATTATAGTTTAGTTTTATGTATGTTTTTTTTATACCTACTTTAAGTTTTAACATTAATTTTGACAGAAATAAGAGTTGTGTATGCCTGTAACTGTTTTTGCACAACTTTATGTATAACGTATGTTATTTTTTAATTATGTTGGGTGTAAAAATGTTGGCATGCCAAATAAATAAATAAATAAAAGTAACCGACATCACGCGAAGGATTCCTTAACTGAAGTGGCAGGGACCTGGACATATAGTGGGAAAACATCGCGAAACGATGCTTCAAAAAGATTTTAGATTGATCGGCAATCACGTCCCGTAGCACAATCAGTGGACAGAACTTTCATCATGTGCATCGATGATCTATCGGTATCGGTATCGGTATCGGTATCGGTATCGGTAAGAAGAATCTACTAGGTGAGGTCAGCAGTTCGAATAGCGTCGGTTAAGAAAATTGCATTACATGACATTTAATTATAAATGGATAGTAATTGACGTGAAGGAGTAATAATGACCTCGTCGGTGCGGCAGGGCATGGCGCTGGGCGCGAGGCAGTCGGGCAGGCCGCACCACAGGCGGGTGCAGACGGGCGCGCGCGCGGCGCACCAGCACGCGTTGCAGCCCCACCACCACGTGCCGTTGTCCGCGCCGCACGCGTCCGGCCCGCCCGCCGCCTCTACGGTCTCCACGCCGAGACCGGCGAGAACTGGAACAGTTAAAATCAATAAAGTTAGCCGAATAATTGATTCTATAAATAAAAATTGTTGCAATCTTAGTGATTTGTTTACTTTGGTTACTTTCATAGTGTTATGTCATATTATGGCCTTTTGCTGTGGGTGCTAATATCGAAAGTATTTGCATACGCCAAAAAAAAAAGCTGTTCGAATAGAGAAGAATTTAAAAATACTAATAATTCAACATTGGCATCGCAATACATTTATGCAAATTTAATATATGTAAGAAAAAGCTATGATGCATTTGCAAAAAAAATCAAACCCATAATAACTTAAGAGCCTTTTTACAAAATTGCGACGCTGCCGTACTGATCGACGCGTAGATAGATTTGCACTAGTATATATTGCATTTTACGGGTAATGTTTCTAGTCTTTTAAAATAATTATTATATAAAACAGTAATTCAATGATAATAGGTTAATTTTATGAGAGTTTTTGATAGTAATTCTATTTAATTCAATATCAAAATACGAGGTACACCTGCACTATTTTTTGGGAAAACTCACGGAGATTAGATGTTGATTTTGATAATTAATGAGATGGAAAATCAAAATTCTAATACATTATGTTACAACAAAGACATATTTCTGACGTCGTAGTAATTAATTTAATCTAATTTATTGAACATTATTGAGAGATTGAGGCGTTTGAAGTTGTGCATATTATCGTTTTTTCCGTAAACTAGCTGCAGTAGAACGATCAGTACAAAAAAATGAAAATAGTATTTGCAGATATTCTACATTAAGTTACAATAAGAAGAATAAATCTACTGTTAACTTTCATTGGAAATAGTCAAAATCTTTTCTAAGGGAGTAAACGAGACGCTCAAAAATTACAATTTTTTGCAAAAAATGTTAAAGGGCTCTTAACACGAGATTTAGAACAAGCTTGCAGTTCTATGTTTCAGACTTCAAAAATCAAGAGATTTATTTCTGGGTTGTAGTATTGCATTGTTTAATAAAGTTTTGCAAGATCTGATTGAGCTTCCATTGACCATATTTAAATTTCAGATCAAGAATACTCTTATGAATAAAGGCTATTATAAAGTTGATGATTATCTAAATGATCGTAATGCATGGACATAGTGTTTCTTATAATTTGTTATTTGATTGGTATCTGTCATTTTTCATAACGGTACCTATCTAATGCGGTTTCGTAGATACTAAATATAAAGTTAACTATAAAATTTATTGAAACTATATATTTATATTTTAAATGATGTAATCGAAGGTGACTTTAGAAATATCTCTGAAGTCATTTTTCAACTTGACGACTTTGTATATAATAATACGGTTTTTCTCAGTACAAGTTCTCCTGCCGTAGTTTTGTGAACCGATGTCGGAGCTTCACAAGCGTTCGTAATAGCCTAGACTGAATAAATGATTTTTTGTTTTGATCTTAATTGATTTATAAAATATGTGCGTAAAATATTGTATGCTTATAATATATAAAAAAATATAATTTTTTTAATGTTGAATTTTACATTGAATTTAAATTAGCAAAAATTAATCTATTTTTATAATTTGTATTCATTTTGTCAATAAAAGGAAAGTAACATGGTAATGCCAAAGTATACTTGTTCATTCGTCTTAACTCAAATACTTCATTCGTTCGTTCAACCCCTACTCATGCGATCATCAATGCACTCTTTTCACTTATAAACTTGTTTCACTTTGTATTCTGCTGTGCTAGGAGTCAGTCGCATCAGCTTCCTAGTAAAAACATATTTCACAGAATATAAGTATCGTTCGTCACCGTGATTCCGTATTTTATTCAGCTCCTCTGACCTATAAAATCTACATTTAAAACAAACAGTCGGACAGAAAGAAGGCGGAGTCTGAAAAACTACACTTGGCATTATTTTATTGGTTTGGCTCGCGTATTTAACAACGACAGAGGGTGATCGAATCGCACTCACGTTCGAGACAACGGCGCGAGGACCTCGCGGGCGGCAACGGGCAGACGCAGCGCGCGCCCCTGTCGGCGTCGCCGACGCAGGTGGCGGGCGGCGGGCAGGCGGGCTGGCAGTCGGCCCCGGTCCCGGCCCCGGTCCCGGCCCCGGTCCCAGCCCCGGTCCCGGTGCGCTCGGTGCAGGCGTCGCCCCCCCAGCCCGGTGCGCACTCGCAGGCCCACCAGCCCGCGCCGCTCACGCAGCGGCCGTGCGCGCAGGGCTCGGAGGCGCAGGCGTCGGCGTGAGGGGGGGCGTGTACGGAGGCAGGAGTGTCGCAGCGCGCGCCGGTCCATCCCGCGTGACACGCGCACGCCCAGCCCCCCGCGCCCTCCACGCACGCGCCGCGCACGCAGGGACACGCGGCCGCCGCCACCGCCGTGGCCGCCGCGTCGCACGCCGCGCCGCCCCACCCCGCCGGGCATACACACCGCCAGCTGCCCGCTTCGCGCACGCAGCTCCCGCCGTTCGCGCACGTGCCTTCCGGGCATCTGTCTTGTTCTATTCTAACGGAGCATGTCTTCCCTGTTAACGCAAACATAGTTGTACGGGTTATACACCTTTGGAGAAGAGATTGGTAAATAGAAAGTCACCGGAAACAATTACTGAGAGTTACTATAACAAAGTCTATAAACAGAAAAACTAAAATTAAAATATGGTGAAAGAATGGTTTACGTATGGTGAAAAGGAAAGAGTGAGTGAGCGGTTGATAAAGCTACCGGCTAGACACTAATTATAGATTCAATACGTTATTATTGCGAAACAATGAAATTAATAAATTATAAAGCATTAAGTCGCGCAGCGGGTCATATTACTGACGCGTTAACCTACTTATTGTGAGTTTAATGTGCGACTAAACTCGTACATAGTATATTAAAAAAAATGGATGCGTGTACTTATGTAGGCGCGTGAGAAGTTATCCTTCTTTGGCATCGTTTAAAATTAGTTTTTAATTGCATGCAAATAATTAATTACAATAAATTAATAAAAAGTCTGGAAAAGGACACAGTCAATAAGTTCAGTTTTAATTTGAAAAAATAAATAAATAATCAAATTATTCAATTAAAATCGCTACTGAATATAATTTATTAGAACATATGTGATTTGCACTTGTATGAAACTCAAACACGTATTCCGAATATACAAACTAGAAACATGTGGATAAATATTATAAATATGAATACCTATAACTGTTACTTTATTACAAAAAATAAAGATGTGGTTTTTGGTTCTACTACACCAATGGTCAAGAGATGGCGCTGTAGTCTCCTGAATCGCGCTTTGGTTCCGTTGTTCCAGATTAATAAATACTTTTGATAGGCCTTCACAATGCAGTCGTTAGCACCCACTAAATAGAGATTCTATTTCTATTTTGTTGGTAGATTTTCTTAATGTGCGGTAAACACAAAATTTTGTGTTACAGTGATGCGCGCGCATCTTAAAATTTCACTCTCATCCTCATCATTTTTTCATAACGCGCCTAAAGAAGTATAACTTCAAAAATATTACAACACAAACTCTGAAATTTGATATTCAATTTGAGTTTTAATTAAAAATAATGTACTAAGCGTAAATAATTAATATATTTTGTTTTTAATATCGACCTGTCCATCCCTCGAGACATGCGCAGGCGAAATCCGCGGGGCCGTCGACGCAGGTAGCGTTGTTGCGACACGGATTAGTTGCACATTCGTCGATTTCTGTAAAGATATGTTTTTTCAGATTACGACGTTACACGTGTTGTCAAAATTTATAGCGTTGAAGTAATAATTATTATTTTACTTTCCATTTTATGGTACCCAGTACATAAAGATGTCAAGTAGGAAACTAGAGTTTGTGATTAATAAGGTTATTTTCATGCGTGGCACGAGTAGTATGTACGCCGGGTTTCAGAGTGTTCGTTACTCGGGGGTTAGTATAATGACTGGTGAGCATTTGTACCTAAGTAGTGGATGTTTATATGTATTTAAAGATAAATATATTTATATATGTATCTGTGTATGTTATCAGTGTATATTTGTTTATCCGTTACTCCAGTATCTCATAAACACAAGCCTTTCAGTGTATCCTTTGCAGCTAGACTAATTGGTCTGCGTTAGAAATATTTATTAATTTATAACTAGTGGTCACTTTAGCTTTTTGAAAAACCCCTAGGGATCTAACACTTTTCCGGGGTAGAGTATCCTATATCTCGATCAAATCTATAAACTACAAACGTCCCAAATATCATTCAAATCCGTTAAGCAGTTTTTGCGTGATTGAGTAACAAACGTACAAACTTTGAGATTTATAATATTAGTAGGATAATAAGCAAGATTGTGTTACCTCGGTCGCAGCGCAGGCCGGTCCATCCGGCGGCGCAGGCGCAGCGCTTGCCGCCTCCCACGCCCCCCTCCACACACGACCCGCCCACGCCGCACCCGCCCGATCCACACTCCTCCACCCCTGAAATGTATCGTATTAGATGCCTCATTAGTAAACGTATACATTATTAAAAAAACATTATACCCATAAAGAAGTGCACTCCCAATCGTCTAATAAATGAGCACCAAAAAACGTCCGAGCGGCGGTTTACGTTAACTTATTCAGACACATTTGTTTAAATTAACATGTTAGGTCTTGGCACCAAGGTTCAATGTCAATTGTATACGAGCCAGAATATTAAAACACGATTGTTTATTTTATACCCCAATATGTCCCTGGCTACAGTGAATGCTTTATTACTATTGTTAAGGAAGCGCAGTATAAACAAACATCGGATAGTTATCAAAGTTTATTTAAAATAATCATGGACTTGAATCTATCATGATTTTCTTAAACTACAACTTAATTCGATAACCGTATAACTCCTCATCATAAGATGTCACAACATACAAGAAAGAAGAAAACATCTGCATCGCTGCTAAATTTATTTTAGGTTTAACTTTACAGAATCATGCCGGAATCAAGTTCAATGTATTCATTATTAAGTTACAGAACAGACGACAATAAAAGTTAATACTATGGTTTCAGACGAAAAAGTGGAAAAAAAAAATCATTAATGTATATACTGACGTTCCCTGGCGGCTCGCTGCGTGCAGTTCTTGCCTGTCCAGCCGGGCGCGCAGTGGCAGTAGTAGTCACTCTGCGCCGTGTAGCACGCCGCGCCGTTGCCGCACGGCGACTCCGCGCAGTGGTCGCGGTCATCCTGACATACATACACATACTCACATGTTACTTCAAGTCTACTATCCCTAAAGGAAAACTTGTACTTTCTTATAATATTTCAGTCTTATAACTACAGTTTACAGTTTCACCATAAACGATAAAAGAATAGGGATGATGACTAATTTTTTTTTCTTCGTTTACCAGGTAGGTTATCAAAAAGTATTGGACACGTATTTTTTCTTTTTTCACACAATATAAACATTGCAGAGATATATTGATTTGAAAAGTCGCATGACGTCACGTTTGAATACACTTTTCACTCAAAAGTGACGTCACGAGCCCCTAAACTTTGACGCGCTATAACTTTGTCATTTTTTGGTTTATTGCCCAAACAAAAAATACTTGTACATTATTTTTTGATCATCTAACTGGCGGACTAAATAGAATTTTGTTTACTATACCCCGTTTGTCACCACCCCTATCGTCAAGTATAACTTTAGATTTATAATATCAGTCAAGCTAAATGAAGATCTGGATGGATGGCTATTTTACATACAAGCTAAATGGAGTGTTATTTAATTGTTATTATAAGACTGAAAGATGATTTCAACGTGATCATGCACCTTTAAATAAAGCAATATAATGGAAAAGAGGATAGATATAAATAGAAGAACAACTCACCGTACAATATCGTCCGTTACAGGAGGTCAGCTAAAAGCAGAAGTGGTGTTAGTCGCGTTAGAGTCATGGTTAGTGCGATTGCGCCCGAATCCAATATGTCACCTGGACGTGTAACCGGAAACGAGGAATAAAAGGAAGAGAGTGAGTAAAATTAGTTTATTTTCAAGAGTTCTCGGGAGTTTATCGCGGCCTTACTTCGCAATCGGTGCCGGAGAAGCCTACAGGACAGATGCAGCGGTAGGCGTCCAGGAGATCGACGCATTCGCCGCCGTTGCGGCAGGGGCGCGGCGCGCAGTCGTCGACGTCGCGCGCGCAGGTGCGGCCCGCGTAGCCGGCGGCGCAGGCGCAGTGGAAGTCGTCCACGAGATCGATGCAGGTGGCGCCGTTGAGGCACTGGCCGGTGCAGTCGTCCACGTTGGTCTCGCAGTCGCGGCCCGTCCAGCCCGCGATGCAGGCGCACGAGTACCCGCCCAGCGTGTTGTTGCACGCGGCCGCGTTCACGCACGGACCCAGCGCGCCCTCCGTCGCCCCGCTCGACGAGCATTCGTCCACGTCTGCCCAATTAAATTAAACAACGGTTATTTTAAGTTTTCTTTATAAACATGGCGGTATTTTAAATTACATAACATTACTAGACAAAGAACCACGCTTGATGTCGTCCGACAAGAAAACGCACAAATTATAGGTACTAAAAATTCTTCAGGTTTAGATAGAATAATGAAGTATAATCATTAAGAAAATGTATCCTTTGTTTGGTGTGAATATTTATTTATTTTTTGGAAGAGAAAAAGAATTTTCTCTGAATGTTTTCATTCAATTCGCGTTATATAATTAAGATACAGAGGGTTCCAGACCTGGGACGCATACTCCAGATGGCTTCGAACAAATGAACAATATAAAATCTTTAATGTTTTTGCATTTTTGAAGGCTCTGGAAAGGTATCGTACGAGCCAGTGTGACCACGTACACCTTTTAGATGTTGATAGATGATAGTCGTTTGTAGTACGCAGGTAAAGAAGTCACCAAAGTTAGATAAGTATATTTATTGTAGCCGAACGTAAATACAGATAGAAATGTCACTAGGTGATTCTTTGCTTGACCGTTTCGAATGCGCGCTCTTAACGTACTCGTATAATTAATATATAATATCAAAAAAAATTAACTATTATGACGCGCGACTCAAAGTAGATCGCTATGTCAGCTCAGTATAATACGATTCAACTAACAATAGGATTGACTGGGTGCCATTTTGTGATGTCAAAGCTGTCAATTGAAACAAAATAGGTAGAGTGAGCAATAAAAGGTTTTCTTCGATAAAACTTATTTACTAAGATTAAGTGAGAAAAAACATCGGATTTTATTAATAAAAATTTATTTACTAAGATTGAGAAAAAAAAAACACCGATTTTTAATAATATTTATGACTGTGTGACTATAAATATTAATCGGAATCTAGCTCTTCAATTCCTCTCAGGTCTGCATAACAACCGGAGTTGTCATCGTCGTCATGTTTGTTTGCAAACGTTTGGTTTTTTTTTATTCTAGAATTAGCCGAGCACTCGGCGAGAAAGAGAGTTCCAAGATTTTTTGCAAACCGTACTTTTTAAGCGTCATTTGACAGATGGAGGTCATCGGCTTTCCTATTCTTATTTGAATCGCATCATATGTGCGGTGATGAGACAGTACAGGTATTTATTTATTTATTTATTATTAGGACCACCAGGGAAAGTTACATTAAATCTTATTTTTAAACATTATAGTGATACATACAAAATGCAAAATTCTATTGAAGGTAGCCACATCATGCTTAAGAGACAGTACGAACGGATGAATTTTAATTAAATAAACAAACAGAAACACAAACCGAAACCACATGTAAACAATGAAGTTTATGAACTATTAGTGGCTTTGAAACTATAGATAATAGAAAACGAGTATGGTATATATATGGTAGTAATGGTATGAGATATGATGGAAAGGATCCGACCGTCGGAGCAGGTGGGTCCGGTCCAGCCTTGCGCGCAGTCGCAGGAGAAGGAGTGCACGCGGTCCCGGCACTGGCCCCCGTTGCGGCAGGGCGCGCTGGCGCAGTCGTCGACGTCGGCGTCGCAGAGCGCGCCCGTCCAGCCCGCGTCGCAGGCGCACAGGAACCCTTGCGGCGCGGCGGCGGCGGAGAGCGCGCAGGCGCCGTGCGCGCAGGGCTGCGGCGCGCACGGGTTGTCCACGCGCTCGCAGTCCACGCCCGAGAAGCCCTCCGCGCACGTGCACAGGTACTGGTCCGGCGCCGTGTTCTCGCACGTGCCGCCGTGCTGACACGGCTCGTGCGTGCCGCAGTAATTGAGATCTACGCATACGTGAGTATCATCATCATGAAATGAAATGAAAAGTCATTTATTCAGTCTAGGCTGTTACAAGCACTTGTGAAAGTCAAGAAGCTACGCCATCGGTTCGCAAAACTACGGCGGGAGACCTTGTACTGAGAAGAACCGGCAAGAAACTCAGCAAGGGCTGCTTTTTTCTCCCTGTATTGATATATACAGAGTCGTCAAGTTGAAAAATGACTTCAGACATACTTCTGAAGTCACCTTCCATTACATTATTTAGGGTATAGATATATAGTTACAACAAATTTTATATTTAGTATATATAGGAAGCGGCATTAGATAGGTACCATACTACTGTTACAAAACTGACTCATACCCATCAAATAAGAAATTACAAGAAACACTATGTCCATGCATTACGATCATTTCGATGCATGATCATGCATGTGTATAATGGAATTTTGTGTTTTTGTTAAATCGATCGGACATCGTGGCAGATTAATGTTACCCGATATGCAAACACATCTATATAGAAGAAACTTTCACCCGAGTTGTATACAAATTTATGATAAGTTACCATGGTCAGCGAAAGAACTCCCTCTAAGGAAAAGCAATTTCAAAAGGAAATTATTTAAATTCCTATTAAGAAAGTGCTTTTACTCAGTCAAGAAACTAAAATTGGTGATTTAATTTAATTGACATTCATGCTTATTGATTTATATCTTTATTTGACTTATTAATGTATTATCATTTTTCGTATATAATGTTTGTTTATTGATCTTTTCATCTGACCTGTTTTAATTCATATACGTAAATTAATAAAGTAAAAATGGTACCTATCTAATTTTAAAACTCGATCCAAATATTGTATTAATTATCAATTAATTATATTGCATGTTATGAAAATAAAATAAAAGAAATGGATAATCACATGACAAATAAAAAAAAAACATCCTATTAATGTCCCCCCTGCTCGGCTTTCCTATGAATGGAATAGGGAGATTGGGCCATGCCCGATCACGCGGGCCCAGTGCGGATTGGTGGGTGCTAACGACTGCTGATGCGACCGGGAACAACGGCTTTGCGTGCTTTCCGAAGCACGAAGCAGTTGGAGATAGTAAATTTTTGATCACCCCTCCAATGACTGACCACTGCGAAAGTTGCCTAACTTCAATGATCGCAGCCGAACGCGCTAACCATCGCACGCATCATCGGGCTCATTTAGAATTGTATACTTTTATATAAATTATAATGTTTTAAAAACAAGCGGATTTCTGTATATAAATAAAGTAATGTTAAATGCGTTCGATCGGCGACTTATATAACTTTACTAGCTGACCCAGCGAACTTCGTACCGCCATAAAAAAAATAGGGGTTGGTGGTAGAAAGGTGAAAATTTAGGGTTGTATGTATTTACTAATGCTGTATCATAAAAAAATAAATAAAAAGAAAAATATCTAAAATTGAAAAAATAAAAAATTTAGGGGTGGATTACCCTTAACATTTAGGGGGATAAAAATAGATTACATCCGATTCTCAGACCTACTGAATATGCATATAAAATTTCACGAAAATCGGTCGAGCCGTTTCGGAGGAGTTTAACCACAAACACCGCGACACGAGAATTTTATATATTAGACTAGCTGACCCAGCGAACTTCGTACTGCCCTAAAAAAATAGGGGTTGTCCAGCGGACAAAATTGTGAATCTAAACCATTCTCAGATCCCCTTGAACACACACAAAAAATTTCATCAAAATCGGTCCAGTCGTTTAAGAGAAGTTCAGTGACATACACACTCACAGAAGAATTATATATATAAAGATAAATAAATAACTGACTTGAGTCGCACTGTGCTTCTTAGGAGGCATGAAATCCATCAGTCAATACTGGGCCCAATCTTTTTTTAGTACTTTACACAGAGCAGGCATGTTACCTATAATCAGGGACAACAACAATTGGCTGGTATATTAGAAGCCGATTTTTTTTCTGTGGTTATTATTTGTACCTTGGTCACATAAAATTCCACCCCAATTTGTATCACAGGTACAGTCCCAAGAAGTTCCGTTGCAGTAGCCGTGCTTGCACCCCGGGTACGGCTGGCACTGGGAACACAGATCGCCGCGCCACCCTGGCCTGCATCTGTTGACGCAAACACACATAACATAATACATTGAGAACCTTATAAACAATGTCATAGGCACATCACAATTAGCGAAGCTGAGTTAGGTATGATTTGTTTCAACGAAGAGACGCAATTAAAATTTTAGCACTAACTAGCAAACCCGGCGAACTCCGTTTCGCCACCAGATGGCTTCGTTTTATGTAACATTTCGTTTGGTGATTAAAAGAAGTTTTTTTTTTAATTTTTCCTGAATTTTCTTTGCTATAAACCTCACGGAGCCCGAGACCTTTCCAACGAATGCAAAACCGTGGAAATCGGTTCGTGCGTTCTGGAGTTATAGCGTCAGGAAGGAAAACCCGACTTATTTTTATATAGTAGATAACAAACTATTGAACATATATGACGGCGCCTCGGTATTTATCGTTGTTGTCTTGGTGTTATCTACGGGCATAGACTATGCATCATAGTGAATCGAATGTCACTGACAGTTCAGTGACAGCTCGATTGACGTAATTCAGTTGGCTGATCGCATAGCGCCCGCGCGTTTTCCGAAAAAAATCGGTTTGCACCCGGTGCATGTGCCAAGCTTTCTGCGGAACGTCTAGATTTTTATAATTGTACGTTATGTTAGCTTTATAATTGTACTTTGATTTCAAGAATTAATGAGTGCGTAGTTCCTAAATTGTAACAGTGAAATATATCGGTGATTATTCTTTGATATTGGATTATTTCTCCTCGCCCGTTACTCCACGCCCCCTCTAAGCACCAATGGAGGGTACCGGCAATCCTGGCAATACCCACGTGCATACATATACATGAGTTCAAAGGCTGAATTTCTTAGATCAACAAAAACTTACATGCATTCACCAGGGTTGTCGCATCGGCCATGAGTAGGATGGCATCCTTCTTTGCATACAGCTGTAACAATACAAAATATTACATAAACAGTCTGAAAATATTTTAAAGTTAAAATTAAAGTTTTATCTGCATTTACAAAAAGTTGTAGTATAAGGTTTAGCAAAGTCAGCTGTGGCAGCAACATTTAAATCCCTCACTTCCCATCAGGTCTTTGGCAGAATTTTTTTGGGCATATAATGTAGTGAAGTAGTTATTACGCTTCTGGTAGTTGTCGCTTGGCAGAACATCTAAGGCTATTTTATTTCATCATCATCATGCCTATTAATGTCCCCACTACTGGGGCACAGGCCTTCCCAATGGATGGGATAGGGAGATTGGGCCATGACCCACCACGCGGGCCCAGTGCGGATTGGTGGGTGCTAACGACTGCAGATGCAGCCGGGACCAACGGCTTAACGTGCCTTCCGAAGCACGGAGGAGCTCGAGATAGTAATTTTTGGTCATCCATCCAATGACCGACCACTGCGAAAGTTGCTAAAGTTCAACGATCGCAGCCGAACGCGCTAACCACTAGCGCCATCGAGCTCCTCCTCCTATTTTATTAAATGGCGATGTTTAGTTACGTTTTTCGCAGTTGTCGCCCTGCCAGCCGGGCAGGCACTGCTTGTCGCCGAGCGCGGAGCAGGCGTAGTGTCCGAACTTGTCGTCGCGCGGGCGGCAGAACGTGGTGCAGGTCGCGTTGTGGTAGTTGGGCAGGCACACCACGCGCACGCGGTACGCCACCGCCGCCGCCGCGCCCGCGTGACGCAGCGCGTGCCACTCCGCGCCCGGCTCCACGATGCCGGACCACCACGCCTCCTCTATCAGACCCGCTTCTGGAATACCAACAGACTCGATATACCGACCTCGCTCGTGCGAACCTTAGGCGCTTTGCAGACGACGGGGCGGGGCGGGCTTTTTGTCCGCGAAGCAATAAAAACCGCGTCTGCCCGTCGATGTCTGCGGCTGCCTTCGCCGCGTACACAAAGCACACGACGGGCAGAGGCAGTCAGTTCAGGACGTTCGTTCTGGTGAATAGTTCATCACTAAAAAGCGCGTGGCGCGGAGTGACCTAGCCGCCCCGCGCCGCCGTCTGCGTTACTGCATATAAATTGGTTTGTATGATCCACGGCGGGCAGCCGCGGACATGCCGCGCCGCTAGTGCCCGCCGGGCACCCAAGGCGCGGTCTTTTGCCCTCTGTGTGCGTTTGTAGTATAGGATTCACTTTGTGCTATCACTTTTGATCGAAATTGACCGGCCCGCTCCGCCCCGCCGTCTGCAAAGCGCCTTAGTGACCACATAATTATGATTGTCGAAGGTTACTCACCAGGGTCAGGGTAATCACTATCGTCGTAGGCTTGCAGTATTAACGTAAATGAGCGCTGAAACAAAAAAAAAAGAATTAGTAATTTTAATGTAGCAACATAATAAAACTCAAGTTTTTGCATAAAATGCAGTAATATCTAGTCTCAATTATATTAGGGCCCATAAAGTCTTATTTTTTCAAGCATGCCTAAAGCATGTTTATGTGACGAAGAGCATTTGATGAACTATGGGTGGTGTTGGCAATCCGATCTAAACAACTTGAAAACAGAATACCTTATAAAGCCTATTTGTCGCTAATACCATTAGGAGTGTTCTGGGGCACTATCATGGTTGCTTTAATATGGATGTCATGAAGCATACATTTTAAAGAAATCCATGATGAGTTCCCATAGAAGAGTCATAGTCAAAGTCATCAGTTCTGCCATCACACTTTCGCTAGGAACCCCAGCAGGCCACGGATATATCTGCAGGTTTCTACTAATGTTTGTAGATTTCCTATGAAGTATATGATGATGCAAGAGAAGTTTGTGATTGTGGAAGTTAAGGAACTTCAGCATTAAAGGGCGATAGGATGGGAGACAAAAATATATCATCTCGAGCTTCTCCGTGTTTCGGAAGGCATGTTTAACTAATGTTGCCGGCTGCATTCGAGTCGTTAGCACTTACCAATCCATACTAAGTCCACGTGATGGGTAAAGGCCCAATGCCCCTATAACATTTATAGAGAAGGCCCGTGCCTCAGTTGAGCGCAAGCATGTAGGGGGCTCGGTCAGCGTGAAGAAGGCGATGCCCAGCACGGGGGAGGAGGCGTATAAAGATAATGTACACTCTGTTGACACTCACCGTCCAGCGGAAGGAGAAGTTGAGCGCGAGCGTGTAGAGGGGGTCGGCCAGCGTGAAGGAGTCGGTGCCCAGCACGGGGGAGGAGGCGTATAAAGATAATGTACACTCTGTTGACACTCACCGTCCAGCGGAAGGAGAAGTTGAGCGCGAGCGTGTAGAGGGGGTCGGCCAGCGTGAAGGAGTCGGTGCCCAGCACGGGGGAGGAGGCGTATAAAGATAATGTACACTCTGTTGACACTCACCGTCCAGCGGAAGGAGAAGTTGAGCGCGAGCGTGTAGAGGGGGTCGGCCAGCGTGAAGGAGTCGGTGCCCAGCACGGGGGAGGAGGCGTATAAAGATAATGTACACTCTGTTGACACTCACCGTCCAGCGGAAGGAGAAGTTGAGCGCGAGCGTGTAGAGGGGGTCGGCCAGCGTGAAGGAGTCGGTGCCCAGCACGGGGGAGGAGGCGTATAAAGATAATGTACACTCTGTTGACACTCACCGTCCAGCGGAAGGAGAAGTTGAGCGCGAGCGTGTAGAGGGGGTCGGCCAGCGTGAAGGAGTCGGTGCCCAGCACGGGGGAGGAGGCGTATAAAGATAATGTACACTCTGTTGACACTCACCGTCCAGCGGAAGGAGAAGTTGAGCGCGAGCGTGTAGAGGGGGTCGGCCAGCGTGAAGGAGTCGGTGCCCAGCACGGGGGAGGAGGCGTATAAAGATAATGTACACTCTGTTGACACTCACCGTCCAGCGGAAGGAGAAGTTGAGCGCGAGCGTGTAGAGGGGGTCGGCCAGCGTGAAGGAGTCCGTGCCCAGCACGGGGGAGGAGGCGTATAAAGATAATGTACACTCTGTTGACACTCACCGTCCAGCGGAAGGAGAAGTTGAGCGCGAGCGTGTAGAGGGGGTCGGCCAGCGTGAAGGAGTCCGTGCCCAGCACGGGGGAGGAGGCGTATAAAGATAATGTACACTCTGTTGACACTCACCGTCCAGCGGAAGGAGAAGTTGAGCGCGAGCGTGTAGAGGGGGTCGGCCAGCGTGAAGGAGTCGGTGCCCAGCACGGGGGAGGAGGCGTATAAAGATAATGTACACTCTGTTGACACTCACCGTCCAGCGGAAGGAGAAGTTGAGCGCGAGCGTGTAGAGGGGGTCGGCCAGCGTGAAGGAGTCCGTGCCCAGCACGGGGGAGGAGGCGTATAAAGATAATGTACACTCTGTTGACACTCACCGTCCAGCGGAAGGAGAAGTTGAGCGCGAGCGTGTAGAGGGGGTCGGCCAGCGTGAAGGAGTCCGTGCCCAGCACGGGGGAGGAGGCGTATAAAGATAATGTACACTCTGTTGACACTCACCGTCCAGCGGAAGGAGAAGTTGAGCGCGAGCGTGTAGAGGGGGTCGGCCAGCGTGAAGGAGTCCGTGCCCAGCACGGGGGAGGAGGCGTATAAAGATAATGTACACTCTGTTGACACTCACCGTCCAGCGGAAGGAGAAGTTGAGCGCGAGCGTGTAGAGGGGGTCGGCCAGCGTGAAGGAGTCGGTGCCCAGCACGGGGGAGGAGGCGCGCCCGAACGAGCAGGCGCCCGGCGCCGCCGCCGACTGGTACTCCTGCGCCGAGGCACGACACCAAACATTATTTGACTGAAAATTCCTATTACACTTGTGTCGGCGACATCTATATGCCCCACAGATATACAACGGATGTAAGAAATCATTACTCACCATCCTCAAAAGATGGCGTTACCTGCACTGCGATCAATATTATTCGGAAGCTATCTCTTCATATATACGATGCCCGACCAACATCAGTCGGGCCGCAGCCCCCGAGCTAACATCACCCAGCTCGGAAGAAGATCTTCCCCTTTGGCTTTCCTACACACTCTTGCTTAACGAACAAAGACATTTGGTGACTCATTTCTTTGTCGTACTATTCGACGACCTCCGTGGCCGAGTGGTTTGTACGCCGGGTTTCATGGTGTCGCCGACTCGAGAGGTCCCGGAATCGAATCCCGGAGGGGGCGCAGATGTTTGTGTGATGAATACGAGCATTTGTACTGCAGTCATGGATGTTTAATATTTATTTCTATATGAGTATACTTATATATATGCAGTATATATGTATTCTATCCGTTACCCTAGCATCCCATAACACAAGCCTTACAGTGCTTACTTTGGGGCTAGGCTAATTGGTGTGAGTGTCGGAAATATTTATATATTTAATATTTATATTTATTTATTATTTATTTATTATTCGCTAGTCTTAAAAAAGTCCAGTACAAGATCAAAAAATACAACTACATTTCAATTCTACTATTTCATGACATGGTCAAAAAATAGTTTTTTTTCTCAGGCGAACGGACAATGAATTAACTGTGCTCTACAACTCTGCTATGCTAGCGTGAACTTTGCTACAGCACTAATTGCGTGTGACATTAAGGAATTACCACAATGTATCTATTTCTTAAGTACTGTATCAATTGTTGAACAAAACACGGTTTCTTGTAGGTGTTTATATTAATTCAAATTTGTTCACTGAAAACACATTCTTATATACACAAATATATTAAATTTTACAGTGCCATCTGTCGTATCGAAATTAAAGTTATAAAATTAAACAGTGACTGCAATAGAAGAGATCTTAGAATTTAAAAAAAAACCCGATTAATATTATAAATACGAAAGTGAGTTTGTTTGTTTTTTACTCAATCAGGCAAAAACTACTGAGCGGGTATGGATTAAAATTGGTAAGCTATATATATATAAAACTCAAAGGTGACTGACTGACATAGTGATCTATCAATGCACAGCCCAAACCACTGGACGGATCGAGCTGAAATTTGGCATACAGATAGATGTTGTGACGTAGGCTAAGAAAGGATTTTTATCAATTCTACCCCCAAGGGGATAAAGTAGGGAATGAAACTTTGTATAAAACTTTGTCAATTTTAAACCGATCGGGCTGAGACTTTGCATGCAGGTATAAGAAGAATCATAGATGAATGTTATTGTGTATAAATACAAGCCTGAGAACAAAAACTGTAGTCTACACTTCAGCTCTACACCGAAGTGAAGCGAGGGCGGGCCGCTAGTAGTTTATAAGGAGTGCAAGCTCAAACTGACGGCATGGCTCAAGACCATGGATTATGATGAAACTGAGAGCCTTCTTAATATTACTTACTAGCGGATAAAATAGCATTTGTACACACATATTCACGTACACTCGTCACACTCACGCACACGCACACACACGAACACGCACACACACATACATACGCATACAGACACACTCTCAACCGCTTATATAAATTATATTTTTTTTTTTTACAATGTATTAAAAATCCAATGAAAACACCTTAACATAAGATATAATAATGATGCTATGGAATAGTGGTTCCTTCTGGTACAGGTGTTAAACACTTAATAGAAGGAACCCACCCTGGTTTGGTGTACAAAAAGTGTGGTACAGTAATAAACTTTTTTGATTTTTTGATAAATACTGATTGATAGTTTACCTTCAGACAGAGTTCGAAGCGCGTGCGGCAGGGGTGCGCGCACGCCGTCACCGCACTCGCCCCCGCCCCCACCCCCGCGCCCGCTCCCGCTCCCGCGCCCGCTAGCGCTCCGCCGCAGCACGCCCCCGACGCCAGCTCCAGCCGGTAGTTTGAGAACTCAAGAATCTGCAGCTCGAACACGCCCGCCCCCGCCGCACACTGCAATACACACACACGTACACAATAAGTAACTTAACATGAGCATTTTCCACCGTATTTTAATGTATCTCCATGAGAGAGATGGGGCACAGCAGATTTCCCGCTCGAATCGGAGTGCCTGTCTGGGGAAGTACTCTACCTTACAGATCACAGTAAATTAGCGTTACCTTTCGGTGGTGCTGTGTTTCTGTCGGTGAGTAAGGTTTTAGGACTCCGGGTAGGGGATTGGGTCAGAGTAGGGGATTGGGTCAGGGTAGGAGATTGGGTCAGGGTAGGGGATTGGGTCAGGGTAGGGGATTGGGTCAGGGTAGGAGATTGGGTCAGGGTAGGGGATTGGGTCAGGGTAGGGGATTGGGTCAGGATAGGAGATTGGATCAGGGTAGAAGATTGGGTCAGAGTAGGGGATTGGGTCAGGAGAGGAGATTGGGTCAGGGTAGGGGATTGGGTCAGGGGTAGGGGATTGGGTCAGGGCAGGGGATTGGGTCAGGGTAGGAGATTGGGTCAGGGTAGGAGATTGGGTCAGGGTAGGGGATTGGGTCAGGGTAGGCAACGTGCGTCATATTTTTGGTATCGCAAGCTTCTATAGGCATACGGTTGTTTAGCATCCTTTTAACTTAAAAAATGAGGCCTTGTTTAATTATTGACCCTTTCAGTAGAAGCTACATTTAGGTACAAATTGCACTAAAGTATTTAAATCAAACTATCGCTATTTAATGGAATTTTGTATTGAGTTAAACTCGAATAAGGCCACGTTGTTTCATCCATACTTAAAAATTGATTCATCAAATACATAGTAATGTGTGTGACAAATGGTTATTTTTTCTCTACTATTTTAACTATACTTAAATGAATAGAAATTGTGAAGGGAGGCCTACACCTAGATGGTTGAAAAACAAGGCTTATGAATCAAAATTTACTAAGATGAAACAACGCGGTCTAAGCCTTAATTTGAATTATGATCTTTAAAAGACTAGCTTTCACTATTATTGATCCAAGCCTGAGGACGTGGAGTATGTTATTTGAGTTATACGACAATCTAAAGAAATAACCGAAAACGGACAATGGCGGCTCAAGATAAGTACACCCACCACGATTATTACTGGAGTTAGCAAAAATAGACATCCGTAGATAAATACTTATATAAAAAAAACAACACGCAATATGTTATCCAACTTCTAAATTATGTATCCAATTTGAATTTGAATTATCACACTAATATTATAAAGGCGAAAGTTTGTGAGTGTGTGAGTGTGTATGTTTGTTACTTCTTCACGTCTAAACGGCTGGAGCGATTTTAATAAAATTTGGTATGGAGTTAGCTGACACTCTGGATTAACACATAGGCTACGTTTTACAGCGGGGAAATATCCCTAATAAGCCGCGGATAACACCGCGGGGCACAGCTAGTTCTTTATAAATCCACCCATATGCATCCAACTATCTCATAAAAATATTCGATCGAAAACTTTTAATACAGCTAATGAATATTCTTCATTAATTTTCGCATACTTTTTAGAATAATTGTTTTTCAATCTCCACATTTCTTACTCACTCGTAGACATTTTCCTACAATTTCGTAGTCGCCTCGTAGCAACGGTGCTACGATTCTCCGTAGCTCTCAGTAAAAGCTTAATCTACACCCCAACGAACATGCCAGTTGTGACAATCTTTATACATATATATAATTCTTCTCTGAGTGTGTATGTCACTGAACTTCTCTTAAACGACTGGACCGATTTTGATGAAATTTTTTGTGTGTGTTCAAGGGGATCTGAGAATGGTTTAGATTCACAATTTTGTCCGCTGGACAACCCCTATTTTATTAGGGCGGTACGAAGTTCGCTGGGTCAGCTAGTTTTAATATAAAGCATGATGAAATTATATACATTTTAAGTTGATTGTATCATCTGCCTTTTGATGGATGGTTCCTATTACTTTATTTTCATAATTGAAAACAGTAGACGTTGTAGACCAAACGAAACAAAGATTTACCGTTTTGTATTCAAGATGTCTACTTATTGAAGTGAAACTTCTTTTCGTACGGGGTGTAAATGGAAAAATGCTATGGAAAAGATGAAACGGAAATGCGTCACGAGCGTCACACGACATGTATGTAAAACGTTAGACATACATTATATAGTACTAGCAAACCAGTGAACCAAATGTTCACCAAAACCTGATTTAAAAAAAAATGTATTTAATTAATTGAGAACTTCGGAGATTTTGTGTGGTTTCGTTTGAAATTCGTGATTTCTCGAAAACCGGAAGTGCTACGTCACTCAAATCCGGTTTGTAGTCTTATCAGACTATTCTTAACTTATAACTTAAATATTCTCTTTATTTATCTCTTACGGTTCGGCCGCTGAAACAGCACCACAGACGGACGGACTTGTCTAATAGATAAGAGATTTTTTGAAGCAGCAAAGTCGTTGGTACCCATAGTGACAAAAATATTTTGTATGGAAGAGTAAAGATGATAGTGACAACCTTGTCCTTTACATAATTATAATGAAGTGTTTTCGGTCTTTGAAGTCTTAAAACCTAATTAAAAATATATTGTCTTCATTCCTCCACATTTTTTTTGCGAGAAAGTTTATATATTTTTGAAGTTATACTTCTTTAGGCGCGCGATGAGAGTGAAATTTTAAGATGCGCGCGCATCACTGTAACACAAAATTTTAACAGCATGAAGTTGGTCGATGCGTTATTTTTGTGTTTACCGCACATTAAGAAAATCTACCATCAAAATAGAAATAGAATCTCTATTTAGTGGGTGCTAAATAGAGATTCGAATGCAGTCGGCATTGTGAAGGCCTATCAAAAGTATTTATTAATCTGGAACAACGGAACCAAAGCGCGATTCAGGAGACTACAGCGCCATCTCTTGACCATTGGTGTAGTAGAACCAAAAACCACATCTTTATTTTTTGTAATAAAGTAACAGTTATAGGTATTCATATTTATAATATTTATCCACAAGTTTGTATGTTCGGAATACGTGTTTGAGTTTCATACAAGTGCAAATCACATATGTTCTAATAAATTATATTCAGTAGCGATTTTAATTGAATATTTTGATTATTTATTTATTTTTTCAAATTAAAACTGAACTTTATTGACTGTGTCCTTTTCCAGACTCTTTATTAATTTATTGTAATTAATTATTTGCATGCAATTAAAAACTAATTTTAAACGATGCCAAAGAAGGATAACTTCTCACGCGCCTACATAAGTACACGCACCCATTTTGTTTATTTGGCACAAAACTTTTGCGACATGTTTTTATTCGCGAATGTACATCTTTTTTGAGAAATACTATGATGCTTGCGCTGCCCCATTCCCCTACGCTTTATGCACCGCCCTAATGTTAGGTTATTTAAGAAAAGAAGTTTCACTTTAGATGTGTAGTCCATGCACACTAATTTTATTGCCTGACACAAAATGTCACTAAAAGGGTTCTTGAGTTAATTGCATAGAATTTTACTGGTCTGCATACGTAGGGTTATTAAGGGATATTTATTTGTTTAATAAGGTTATACCACGAAATATATAATAACACGAAATAACATAATAGCGATACTTCCGTCCGTCCGCAGCTTAACTCAGATATTATTAGTATTAGAAATTTGTAATTTGGTATAAAAGGTGTACATAATATTGGACGACGTAGTGGTACAATAATAATAAAAAAAAAATTAGAAATAACGTAATCATAGCATTTTACTAATTTAAATTTAATATTATATTTCAGAAAATTTTATAAATTAAAAGTAAGAAAACATACAACGATATAAAATAGTTGGGATAATATTCGCTTTGTAAGACGTTGTTCACTCTTATTAAGTTTTCTTTTTTCTAGTAAACTTTTCTTTAGATTTAAACATGTAGCAGTTAAATGCTTAAAAAAAAATATGGGTGCGTGTACTTAAGTACGCGCGTGAGAAGTTATACTTCTTTTTGGAATTCTTAAAAAATAGTTTTTAATTGCATGCAGATAATTAATTACAATAAGACAATAAAAGGATTGGAAAAGGATAGTCAACGCAGTCAATCAAGTTCAGTTTTAATTTGAAAAATTTAATAAATAATCAAAATATTCAATTTAAATCACTACTGAATAAAATTTATTAGCACATATAAATTTCGCATTTGTATAACATTATAACACGTGTTAAGAATATAGAAACTAGAAACATGTGGATAAATATTATAAATATGAAAACAGTGATCAAAGGCGACGAGCGTCCCATCTTGTGCGACTAAGAGATCCTATTACTATTTTGTTGGAAGCTTTTTTTCGAGACTTACGAGTAATGTGCGGTTTAGCGGCCGACTTCATGGTGTTACTTTTCTGTTACAGTGTTGCGCGCGCATCTTAAAATTTCACTCTCATCATTTTTTCATAACGCGGCTAAAGAAGTATAACTTCAATAAATAAAATCATAATCTTATTAAGAGTGTAACAATAGTTAACTGTAACCCATCACGTGGTATATAGCCGGTCACAAACGAGTTTGTGGCGCGCATAATAATAACGTTACCTGTGTTTTTGTTAGTGTAATTAAATCTCAATATTGTTTCAATGTAGATCTGTTGGTGAGCACGGTCGACCTGACAACTCGATTTTTTATCGTGTTGGTGACGGATGACAGCTGGACCAGTACCCCTAAGCAGGAACCATTATCGAATTCGAATAGTAATAGTAGGAAAAATACTAAAGATGGAGGTTACGGCGAGTGTAAAATGTCAATGGCAAATTGTGTATGAAAACTTGAACAGAAGCGCCACAGAGTACGTAGCGAGAACTAAAAATCAGTACACATTTGACGATGACATTTCGCACTCGCAAACGTTACGAATTCGATATTGGTTCGTGCTAAGGATACAGATTTGGGGGCGACGAGATGTATTTATTTTATTTATTTAAACTTTATTGCCACAATTACAAAATGGACAAAAGGCGGACTTAACGCTAAAAGCATACTCTGCCAGTCAACCTT